ATGCGCCTTGCCTATATCAGTTTAATATTCCACTCACACTGCCCTCTGTTCAGCTTCTCTGCATGCTTGCAGAGATAGGCTTCACCCTTCCACCACCTGTTCGTCAGGTCACTGAATTTGTAGTGGATATAATGGTTTAGGTGGGAACTTGCCAATGGTAGGTGAGGAGCTCCTCAAGGAGATTTTTCTCCAGGATTGGGCTGACGTACATTGTCTGAGGGGATCTCCACTATGCCTGTTGGTGATTTTTCTTTTCCCTTCACCTCCCAAGAGAAAAGTTCTATTGCTCACCACTTTGCTATTGCTCACAAGGGAAGGTTGAATGTGGGGACAGGGCCACTTCTGTTCCTGACAACCTCATTATGTGGTTATCAGGAGCAGACACTGCCCAGGTTGTCACGACAACCAGCAATGATTCAAAGCTTCCCTGAAAGGTCTGTATCTCTGGCAAATAATCATCCTTTAGCTCTCAGCAGATGCTGAACTGAGCAGCCAATCACAGGTAAGCTGAGAAAGCATGACATCATAGTCCAGCCAGTCCACACACACAAAAATAATAATAAGATTTGGTTTTCTATTTCTCCCCTTGGTTCTTTGTCCCCTAGATTTTGTCCTCCACTTTCTCATTCTCTCTCTTTTCCCCTAGTAAAATGGAAAGAGCAATGAAACCAACTTTCCAGATTCAGTTTACTCTGCAGTTTGACTTAGGTTTGAACAGCAGTGTGGGGAAGGAACGTATAATGTGATCCACTTAGGAACAAAATCAAACAGCATCAGCTCAATTAAATCATGTGGTTTGATATGTAGGACCATGGAAGTGGGGCTAATTAAAACCAAGTCAGAGGAGAGGAACTTCCTAATTCTCATATTAATTCATCCACATCCACCTGCATTTAATTGTCTTCTGCTTTTCCTTCGCTAACTCCCTAGTGGAGGGGAGGAGGGCAGAGGCTCTGGGCTTCTGAAAGCTTGTAGATTGTACAGGGCAGGTCTTTAACAGATGCTAATTATAGCGAGGGAAGGTGAGGAGAGATACCCCCAAGTCCCAAGGTCCCACCATACAGGGAGTATATGTAAGTGGGGACTCATCAAGTCTATTAAGGAGGCCTGTAGCTCTAAAACCTGTTAAAACCACTCCTGTTCCATTAGCCATTGGATTTCCCTGGTGGCTCACTGATAAAGAACTCATCTGCCAATGCAGGAGGCGCAGGTTCGATCCCTGGGTTGGGAAGATCCCCTGGAGGAGGGCATGGCAACCTACTCCAGTATTCTTGTCTGGAGAATTCCATGGACAGAACGGCCTGGCAGGCTACAGTCCATGGGTTCACAAGAGTCGGACGCAACTTAGTGAGTAAAAAGCAATGACAACTCCATACAAGAGTCCAGGGAAATAGGCAGGCCAAGTTTCACAATGGAGAAATCTCAAGCTGAGGGAAATTTGTCTTTCCCAAGGTATCCTGGCCACAGGCTAGACTAGAATCTGGGTCTCTTGATGCCCTGTCGAGAACTCTTAAGACCCACATGAATGGTGTTTTCCTAGCCATGGGCTTCCCTCTTTCCCTAGCCTCTGGTTTTAAGCAATGCCGGATGAGACCTCTGCTCAACAGGCTACCCAGCACGTTTCCTTCTACAGGACAGCTGGAGCTATATTTCCCCCTTTTAATGTTTCTTTTGTTTCTTCCTAATCTGAAGTAAGCTATATTTTCCCCTTTTAATGTTTCTTACATACAAAATACTGTGTATTTAAAAAATGTATAAGCAATGCAGAAGCATATAAAGAACACACCATTCCCCCACAACACACACACACACACACACACACCCATGTGTCTTCCTTCCCACCCTTTTACTTCCCAGAGTTAACCCTATTAGCAGTTTGGAGTGTATGTGCTCAGTTGCTTCAGTTGAGTCCAACTCTTTGCAACCCTATGGACTGCAGCCCACCAGGCTCCTCTGTCTATGGGATTCTCCAGGCAAGAATTACTGGAGTGGGTTGCCATGCCCTCCTCTAGGGGATCTTCCCAACCCAGGGATCAAACCCACATCTATTCCATCTCCTGCATTGGCAGGCAGGAATCTCCTGACCTGAGAGTGGATTCTTTACTGCTCAGCCACCGGGGAAGCATGGTTTGGTGTGTATAATTCCAACTTAAACACATGCACACACTTTTTTAAACAAAAATAAAATAATAGTACAAATTCTACAACTTTTTTTTACTCAATATATACTGTGACATATATACTGTGATTTCTTTAACAGTTCCCTTATAAGGATCATTTAGGTTGTCCTTTATGCTAAATTTTTTCATTCTCTCATAAGATTCAGCATTAAACATACCTGAACATATTTTGGCATGTTTTTATGAGTATATCTATGGGCAAATTCCTTGAGTTGAAATTTCTCGATCAAGTAGCTTATGCAGTAAAAATTTCGTAAGTATTGCCAACTTCCCCTCCAAAAGGCTGTGCCATTTTACACTGCCATCAATGGTATGTGAGAGTGAGCAATGTTCCCCTTGGGCTTCCCTGGTGGCTCAGTGTTAAAGAAGCTGCCTGACAATGCAGGAGACCCAGGTTCAATCCCTGGGTTGGGAAGATCCCCTGGAGAAGGAAATGGCAACTCACTCCAGTATTCTTGCCTGGGAAATCCCATGGACAGAGGAGCCTGGTGGACTACAGTTTATGGGGTTGCGAAAGAGTCAGACATGACTTAGTGACTAAACAACAACAACAATAATGTTCCCTTTAGTTGGGATTTGGCTGAGACAGTTTGAAGATACTCAGTTTATGTCTGTTGCTACAAGCCCTATCCCAGAGTGTCTCACTTCTCACGAGAGTCAAAGGGCTGGTCGGGTTGGTGGGAACCAAAGGAAAAATACAATTGAAGTTGCCATGTAGGGTGGTAGAAAGAACAGAACTGACAGTGGGAGACCTGGTTTCTAGGACCATCTCTCTGAGGCATTGAACAGAGAGATTGATCTTATTTTCAACCCTTGGATCTCCATTCACTCATCTGTGAAATGCAGATCATAATAATTGCCACAGTACACTGTTGTCGTTGTTGTGAGGATCACATGAGGAGATATGAAAGTTTAGTATGTAACCTAATAGGCAGGATGCACATGAGGAAATATGACAGTGGTATGTAACCTAGGAGGCAGGATGCACATGCCAAGAGGTTATTATGGTAATGTTTTTGTATCCTTAAATCAATGAACTTGGGGGAAGTGAGCAGGGGCCAGTGGGAGTTGATGAACACATGAAATCTTCTAAGACATTTCAGTTTCCCTGCAAGGTTCCATGCAATTATCCTATATTCCTGGAGAACAAACCCCAACAGCAGTAAAGACTGCTTTATGGTATCAAGAATGATATAGGAAAAAAAATAATGATATAGGCTATCACCCTTTCACCTTTATTCTTGCCTGGAGAATCCCATGGACAGAGGAGCCTGGTAGGCTACAGTGCACGGGGTCGCAAAGAGTTGGACACGACTGAGGGACTTCACTTCACTTCACTTCATCCATGGGATGGGAGGTGGGAGGGAGGTTTAAGAGGGAGGGGACATGTGTATACCTATGGCTGATTCATGTTAATGTTTGGCAGAAACCAACCTAACATTGTAAAGCAATTATCCTCCAATTAAAACTGAAAGGAAGTTAATACCCACCAATAAAATAAAATAAAATGAATTAGTTCAAAGAGTCACCCCAATCTCCAGGTTCCTCAGATGTTGTCTGTGGTGAGTCTAGGGGCCTGGTGTGTGACTTTTCCTAAAAGGACCCTTGCAGATATATTAGTTCATTCTTGACTTTGAAGCTTCTTTTGTTGACTTCATGCTGAAATGATTGCTGGATGTTATGTAAATGTTGAGAAAATTGGATAAAAGTGCACTGGGGAGGGTCAGACCCATCTTGACCATTTAAGTATGTGAAGACACACATCTTTATAAAAAGAAGTTTGAAAGTGAAGAGGAAAAATCCCATAATTCTACTTCTTTAACCCAACTATTATAATTTTATGTTCGTCCCTGATTTTTTTTTTTTTTGCTGGCATGTTTTGCATCATTATAATTTGAATGTACTTATTATTTTGCACTTTTGGTCATTTTTGATGACAGCTTGCTAGCTTCTTGCTGGGATTTACCCTAATTTACATAACCTAGCCAAATTACTCTAATTGACATAATCTAATGTACATAATCTAGGGAGGATAGATTTTGGAATAACAAAACATGATATTTGAAGTTAGATTTTAGAAGGCTTTTGACATTGGCAAAATTTTGAACTTTTTCTTAAAGACAAGTGATGCCATGAAGTGTTTCAGTGAAAGGATGTACAGAGACAGCCACATCTTAACGATTATTATTATAATGGCACACACACAAACACACACACACAGACACACACACACACACAGGGGATTCCAGTCCTTGGGGTCTCAAAGAGTGCAACACAACTGAAGCGACTTAGCACAGCACAGCACATGTACACCTATATATTTGAAGTGGATTAATGGTTCTCTTTTTGTATAGTGCTTTCTTTTTTAAAATTGTGTTTCATGTGTAGAAGGGTGTATTTCCTATCTAGATTGTCATCTCTTTGCACCCACTTTGCCATATCTGCCTCTCAGTTTACTGTGGATTCAGGAGACTCCCATCAGTGTAACCTGCTTGCCTGACAGGTGGTGTCCCAAATCCATAGCATTTCCCCCCAGTAAAGAGTGACTGTGTAGCTGCACAGACTTCCTCCCTGAAAATGTACCTGAAATCCCAGTCTTCCTGCGGGGGGCAGTTGAAGAAGCTATACTCAATCACCCCCTCATCTCCCACTGTCAGGTGCATCTCTTTCTCTAAGGCCCCACCTCTGTCTAGACAACCCTGACAGTGTAGAAGTTTCCATCTCCTTTTCCTTTCCCTCTCCCTGTTCCCTCCCCTTCATTTTTTTTTCCTCCCAGGCGCTTCCTGCCTGGAAACAAAAGATTGGTCCCCAGTAGCCCACTCAGGGTGATTTTAGTTTTCTGCTCCCTCTCTGATTGGCCTCCGCGCGGTGCAGAGCCTGGGTGACGTCATAGCGGAGCAGGGCGAGGGAGCGGTTGCCGAGTAGGGCTCGACCGCGGACGGGCAGCTGTGGCAGCGGACAGTCTGGGGTCTCGCGCGGGGGGCTCCAGCTTTGTCCTGCCCGGAACGAGTGTGCAGGGGCGGGAGGAGAGCCGGGGGACGGGGGTGGGGAGCGGGCCGAGCCCGGGCTGCGGCTGCGGCCGCGGGGCTGCGGCGCCCCAGCCCCGCCAGCCCGCCCGAGCGCTCGGAGGGAGAGGCAAGGTCTGGACGGGGTGGCTGGACCAGTGGCAGGTAAATTCCGCGATGGATGGCACCCGGCTCGCTCTGGGGAAGGGGGTGGCGGCTGGGCTCTGCTTTTCGGCGGCCGGGCAGATTTTCTACCTGCTCGGACCCTCCTCCCGCTGTCGCGGAGCCCTGGCCTCGAGTCCCCTACGTTGCCTCCCCCGGAGCCCTGACACCCGGCGCGCTCCGTGCACGATCCCGGCTCGCGATCGCGGACAAGTGGGTGTGTCGGGGCCATTCCCGGAGGACCAGGGCCCCTTCGCTGGGTCAAGTCCTATACTCGCTTGCTGGGGCCTGGGCCGCTTGAGGCAAAATCCGCCCCCAGAGCTACGTCAGGGTGTAGGTCTTATACCATCTTCCCGCCTCCCTCCCCAGACACTGGAGAGCGACAGCAGCGCCCCCCCTCCAAGGGGAGGGGGTGTGGCCGCGGGCAGGCAAGTCCGGGGGAGGGGGAACAGCCAGACAGAAGCACAGAGAAAAAGTGACGATTTTCTTAAATGGACGCCTTTCCCCCTTTCTTTATTTTTCTTCATTCCCCCTCCCCTTTTTTGGTGGGGTGGTGGAGGGCAATCAGAGCAGACCTCCTTTCTTCTCGTGTGGGGACTAGAATGATGCAATAATGTCCCTAGAAAGCCCAGGGTCCCTCAGTTGGCCTCTGTCTTTGTCTGGGGAGCAGGGTCACCAGGTCCACTGCCCCCGTTCCCAGTCCCCCTCAGCTTGCTGGGCCCTTGCCCTCAGTTTGTGAACTGGCTTTGCCAAGATACCTGCCATACTTTGGGAGGGGGGAACTTGGACCTTTCTGATTCTTGCTCTGGCAGGTTCTCCTTCCCCAGGTGGTGGTGGAGGGGTGGGGTGGGGGAGCTGAGGGAGGGCGGTGCCTAAAGGGAGGGAGCCAGAGGCCCCACTTGTTTTGTTTTGTTTTTTGGTCCCACCTTCCAGAATCTAGTGCAGACTCTGGACTTGAGGGTTCTGGGCTGTGGTCTGTAGAAGCCAAGGAGAGAAGGGTGAGTGGCTTGGCTTTGGGAAGTATGAAGGGGGCGGCTGCAGTGCTATTTTTAAAAACTGGTTTTCAGCAGGGAAGCCTTTAGCCATGTTAGTCTCGCTCCCCCCATGGTTTTGCAGACTCAAATCCAGGCCAACTGTATGGCTGTCTGAGGTGTTGGAACAGAAGGAGGTCCATTCCTGTTGGTGACAACACTGTGGCCCTGTTCTGGGATGACCGAGGTATAAAGGTCAGTGCGGTTTTCACTGGGCCATCTGCAAAGTTATAATTGGGCAGGTCTGTGATTGGGTTCTTGAGGCCTCTCAAGACACCTTTGGGCAAAGGGGCTTAATATGGTAATAGATGATTAACAGGCCTGGGCTTGGATAGAGTCATGTCAGCCTCTGTTTCTAGATACAAATATCATACCCTCCTCCCCCATGAAAGAGGCAAAATAGCTGGAGACTGGGACATATGCAGGTAAAAGCCAACAGCTGTGAGATCTCGAGGGCAGGAGGACCTTGGGATGTTAAGGAGCAGGCCCTCCAAGCCTCCAGGCAGGCAAGTGGGCCTTGTAGGAGAGACCTAACAGAAAAAGGGAGTTTGCCTGTGATAGGGGTACAGGCATGGGGCCACAACATCCTAAGGACGTTCCAAGTAGCTGACTAGCTGACCATTCCCACAGGTAGTGGATTTTTAGAGGTGGAGGTGGAAATGGAATATAGAGCAAGCCAGCTTGCTGAGGTGTTTGAGGGGAAGGGAGCAGACAGACGTGAGGAGAGAGAGAATTGAGGAATAACTGCAGGGCTTGGGAGGTGTTACTCCCACCAGAGACTGTTATTACGAGGTCAGAGGCTGAGCTACTGTGAAGTCGAAGTGGGTAGCCAAGACAAAAAAAAAAATCAGATCTAGAAATCATATAGAGTAGGTGGGTAAGGTCAGTGGAGTAGGTAGGAATAAAACCATAGAGAGAAAGAAGAAAAAGGCAGCGTTTTCCAAGGAGCCCAAAGGCCCTGATTTCCCTGGTGAACTAGTTGAAATTTTGGTGCTGAGGCATCTGTGGCTTAGCCCAGACTTAGGGGGACAATTTCTGCATAGCTGGGGAATCAATAGCATTCCTACCCAGGTAAGCTGCCTAAGGAGCCGGTAGCTTTGGTGGAGGGAAGAAAAAATTTGATGATGAGCAGGGTACCCTTTACAACTAGCTGTTTCTACTGGGTAAGGAGAAGGGAGTGGGGGGCCAGGACCTCAGAAGGGACTGAGGGAGCTTCTAACCTGGCCCACACGGTAGACTGGTTTTACATGGGGTGGACCAGGGCTGAGCCGGGGGCCCCTGCTCGGGGTATGTATCCGCCCATGTTCAAAAAGAAAGCCCTCCTTCCCAGGGGCCCATGGGACCCTGTGCAGGCCAGGGATGGCAAAAACCACTGCCCTAGAAGGTAAGTGAAGCTGCTGAGGCATCTAGAGTGCAGCGTAAGCTCCCCTGTTGTTCCCCCCAACCTCACCACCTGCTGGAGGCCAGGGGGTTGCCTCTACAGGGACGGGGGTTGGGGGGCGGGGGCGGAACTCCTCTGCCTGCTCAGCACTAGGCACTACTCGGCTTCTCCAGCAGGGAGCGGGCAAGGGCAAGCCTTCAGGCGCCTGGGACCCGAGTCCTCCATTTCAGGTGTGAAGCCTGAGCCTCCGATCATGTGACAGGCTGGCATACATTTCAAGTCTGCTTTAGGGGTACCAGATGAACCTTCGGGTCTAGCAGTCTGTTTCCAATTCCTGTCAGAATGTGTCGCTTCCTCTCGTGTCCCGCTTCCTTGGGAAGGTATTTGCATTTACCTCCGTGGGCTTCCCTTGTGGCTCAGCTGGTAAAGAATCCGCCTGCAATGCGGGCGACGTGGGTTTGATCCCTGGGTTGGGAAGATCCCCTGAAGAAGGGAAAGGCTAAACACCCCTGTATCCTGGGCTGGAGAATTCCATGGACTGTATAGTCCATGGGATTGCAGAGTCAGACACAACTGAGCGACTCCGCGGTGATTACTGGAGTCACTAATAGAGTCTAACCCGGAGTTTAATTGGAAATGTTAATCAATGCAATGGATCCGTGTCTGGTTTGCACAATTGGTCAGTTATCTGCAGGTTGGGGTAATCTGCACGGCACCCAGGGGGATGCGAGGAAGGGCAAGATGGCAGAGCCACAGCTGGCTGTACTGGCGGGAAGCAAAATGAAGGAAGTAGAGCTTGAAGGCTGGAAAGAGAGGAGCAGGTTCCTGGTGGGGAATAGAAACCAGGGTAAGGCCTGATTGCCTGATCACTGAAGTGAAATAGGACAATCTTGGAGGCCACACTGGAGATGGAGGCCAGGGTTTTGCCCTGAGGTGGGAGGGTCCTGGATTTGGACAAGGGTTTTTTTTGGTGGTTGTTTTGTTTTCTGTCCATGCCATGTGGCACATGGGATCTTAGTTTGCCGACCAGGGATCGAACTTGTGCCCCTGCACTGGAAGGCAAAGTCATAGCCACTAGATCACCAGGGAAGTCTGAAGAAGGAAGTTTTAAAGGGAAAAACAACTGGAGTGGAGCCAACCATGGGGGTCCAAAAGTTAGTGTTCTGGTCTGAGTGTTTCTTCCCCTTCTCTGGGCCTCAGTTTCCTTGTCTTTCAAATGATCAGGGTGAACTAGGTGGTTCCTAAGATGGTGGTAACATTTTAGGAAGTGGGTCCATTTGTTCTTGGTAATGAAAAAAGTTTCACTCAAGGAGAGCCGCTTCCCCTCAATTTACCCCTTTTAAATCATACTTTTGGGCATGCCTCTAATTTAGAGGAAGACAATACAAAACAAGCCCACAACCACTACACACATTTCATCTCAGCAGTGTGGACTTACTTTTATTTAAAATGAATGGGAAAGGGGTGGGATGGGGGGAGATGCCCACATGTAGAATCTCCCACTGTAACCAAGACCCTGATGGCTCAGATGGTAAAGAACGTGCCTGCAATGCAGGAGACCCGCATCTAATCCTGGGTCGGTAAGATCCCCTGGAGAAGGAAATGGCAACCCACTCCAATATTCTTGCCTGGAGAATTCCATGGACAGAGGAGCCTGATGGGCTACAGTCCATGGGGTTGCAAAGAGCTGGACACAACTGAGCGACTAACACTTTTTACTTTTCACTTCAACCAAGACCCTAAAAAGCACTATGGGGAATCTCACCCAGATCTTATACCCTGGGGTGAAGGCAGATACCCAATAGTTGCCCTGACTCAAGTCAGTCTGAAAACAGAAGGGCTTGGGGTGAAGGTGAAGGAATGGCCTGGCTTAGGGTCTGTATCTTTTTCCTTCTGTCTTCCTCACCCTGCTCTCTTTCTCTGAGCCAGGTGGACTTTTTGAAATTCTATACTTTTAAGAGACGTTGCCCCTAACAATCAGCTCAATTGCGCCCTCTAGTGACCTCAATGGGAATGACTTTGACAGAGCTCCCCTTTTACCTGGGGTGTCAGTGTTTATTTAACCTGCTGTGCAACTGTTAACTCCCTGTGGAGAAGGGGTCCAGTATTTCCAACAGCCCAAAGAAAAAAGGCGGCTGCAGCTTCCTGCAGGTCCATCTGGGGTTGGGAGTTGAGAGAGGACGCCATCCCACCCCCAGTGCCCAATTTCCTTCTTTGGGCCTGAAAAGGGTTCTGGAACATTCCCAGCTATCTTCAGTGCTGGACCAGGCACCTACCATGGGAGGGGGTGCTCTGTAGTAGAGAGAGTGGTTGTTCACAGATTCCCTCCCCACCAAAGAGGTGTCAACCCTAATCCCCAGACAGATGCTGGCAGGAAGATGGCAGCAAGGCTGGGGTGTTGGTAGGCACACAAGGGCTCCACTGATCTCTACCTCTGCCTCCAGTAGGAGGCTGAGCCACAGGTGCACACACAAGCAGTATAAACACACAAGAAGCTACACACAATGTGGCATAGACATATGATACACAATATAGATTAGACCCAGGCACTCCACAGCACAGAATAGATGGAATACACATGCAACACAGTACAGGCCCAGGGCACATACACAATACGGTACTGACCTGATACACATATGTAGTATGATATAAACACAACTACACACACACACACACACACACACACACACACAGAGGACATGGTAGAGGCACACAAATATGAAGTGGTACTGGATGCAGTTCAGACATACCCAACCCCATTTGTGCTCACAAGCAGGACACCGCACCACCACCCCCGACTTCCAACACTAACCTCCAGAC